AAGCCCGATTCAGTGTTGATCCCCAGTTATACATACACTTTCTCTGATTAGTACCATTCAGGTACAACAACCTTGGCCGCTGATGTCAGTAAATTGTTTCAAAGAATCAAAAAAGATCCTTTATGATGGCATAACCCAAAAGCAGTGGGGTCCTTGCAGTGAAGTCAGAACTATTTTGGTAGAATTTAACATCACTGTTTTGATTAGCAGTTGGGCCTATGCATATTATTTCTCTCTTTTTAGCCTTTTTATTTCTTCGCAGACGCACCACCACTGTCCCGTTGTGGAACGATATAAACTAATTATGTATACATCATTTGTATTAAGTGCTAATTATCAAATAACAGATGAATACATTAATAAATCATCAGTAACGCCTGTTGTATATACAGCCTCTGTTAATTCTGCAGTGAATAGTATTGAAGAATGGAATAAATGTAATATAGGTTTGAATTCCACCTAACCTTTCTATGAGAAGTGCAACTTCCCCCTTCCCTTCCTACTGCAGACCCGAATGCTTCTCCTGGGAGCCAGGGTGCTCTCAGAAGTCAGCTGGGGGGGAGTAGCTGCAGTTCTTCTACAGTGAGAGATTGTCAAAATCTCTCTGCCTTGTGCAGAATTTTTGGGTTGAGTCCAACTTGTCATAGTAAACATTTTATTTCAACTTCAGGGGAATTGGGATTAACAATAATGTCAGATTTCCCCTTTCTCTGGAAGGGGTAAACCCTAGGAACTTGACCGCATCTGGCAGATTAAGTGCAGTATACACTGTAGCATTGTGGTTTATAACCCAATTAAGAAGCCATGTATTAAGCACATGATCGTTAGTCTAAATAGCAACTATCAAGCAGTCAGTTGCTCAGTATTAATGTGTCTGTTTGGTGAATTCCAGCGAGCTCCTCAGAATGAATGTTGATGGTTTAAATGAGATAGTTGGCAATTATCAGTGCATTGTCTAGCAAATAAAGAAATACACCAATGAATGCTGACATTCGCAGAATTCTTGTCAATGCGTACTGTCATTAACAAAAGTTTGAGCATTCATTATAACATAAGTTGCTTGTTCTGTGTTCCCCAGCATACTGCAGTGTTTGTCATGCATCCATCTTTTTGGTTTTCACAGACCTGCTATGGGTACAATCTTTTCTGAAATTTCTGCACCTCCCCTCCCACATCTGGTGTTGTTTCCCCTTGAACACCTGCCTTCCCCAGTGCCTCTGGTAGGCTTTTGGCTGACAGTTTTTTAAATTGGTAGTATATCACCATGTTAGTACTCTAGTAATATACTATATATGTTGTACATTATCACACCTTTCCTTGACAAAACTAGAAAGAGTGGTAGCAGAACAACTCCAGGTCTTTCTGGGGGACTCATTTGCTCTAGACCGCTTTCTGTGTGGCTCCAGGCCAGACTATGAAATGGTGATGGCTTTAGTCAGTGATTAGTTGTTTGAATGTGGACAAGGGCCATGCACCTCTGTTGCTCTTACTGAATCTATCAGCAGTGCTGGACACTGTGGACTGCACCACCTTGTTGAAGCATCTGGAGGTAGAAGGAGGGATTAAAGGTTCTGCCTTGGATTGGTGTAAATCATTCATTATGGGCAGGACTCATGTTCCTACTGTACGTGCCTTGCTGTGGCTCACTTTACAAAAGAAGGCTTGGTTTGGATGCTCCCCCAGGCACCAAACTGATGAGGGGGCAGAGATCAGGAGGTAGTTTGGGGAGCAGTGAGGGATCGTTCTGGGATGTGTGGGTTCCCTCGCCAAAGTGACTTCACCCCTGCCTTCTGAGAAGGCTTCAGCCTCTCTTGTTTGCTCAAAGCAGGGCTTTTCTTTCTGGGGTAACACACCAGAACGGAGTTCCAGAATCTCTTCAACAAAATTCTTTTAAAAAATATTTTAAAGTTCATGAGTTTTCAGTATACAAATTGAAAACTTGATTTCCTTCTTGAGAGTTCTGGCACCTCTTAAAAAAAGAAAACAAAAGAAAAGAAAGCCCTGGCTTGGAGTATGTTTGCTGGAGCAGGAAGAGAGTGGCCTGGGGGGTTGCTAGGGCAGATGCATCACAGGTTATCACCTGCTGTTACGGCGTTGTCTTATACCTTGTAATCCACTTTCTGTGTTGCCTTGGTTTGTTGTTTGCATTGTTCTCCTATTCTGTAATCCTAGTCATTATTTATTGGTTGTCTTCTGCTGTCTGATAGCGCTGCTTTGTATCCTGTAATATGCCTTGAGTTATAGCAGGAAAGGCAGACTATAAAACAAACAAACAAACAAATAAATAAATACAATAGAGATACTTAACTATCGAAGGTTTTTAAAAGACAAAAAGCCTGCTGGTGGTGGTGAGGAATGGTGGGCATGCAGAGATACCATAGAGAATAGCCCTCCATTGCCACTATGGATGCCTCTATAGTCATGGTAGACTCCATTGCCACTATGGATGCCTCTATAGAGAACATCTATGGATGCCTCTATGAGAACAATGGGGAATCATTTCCATGTGGAAGCAACGATATATAGACAGATTTGGATTTCTATAGCTTCTGGGAGGGAGAGTATAAGATACAAAAAAACAACAGTGGATTACTATGTTGCTGTTCCTACAGTATGTAAATTATGTACTGAGTGAGACATCTGAATTGCAAATGATTTTTTTGCACATTAATACAAATTTATATTTAAATCCTGGATGGGTGTTCTTTTTCTCCCCTACACCCCCATTACGTATCCCTGAATCCTATTAGCATTAAGAGGTGTTAGGTGTAAATGCTAGGCTTAACAGCACAGCTGTTTGGTGTTCAGAAAGAGCGGGTTCTCTGGCTATGGGCATTCCCAGGAGAACACAAACCAGTGGTGGCTCCATGCATAGACTGGCTGCATGCCAATTCATTAGTATGCTAATAATCCCTCGAAAATTGTCTCATGCTGTACTTTCTAGATTAGCTGTTATTTGTCTTGTTTTCACCTATTTATCAGAGAGAGGCTGCCGCACACACCATTGCCTCAGGGTTTCTGGGAGTTGGGCGAGTCTCCTGCGCTGGCATGAGCAGCGGTGCTGGCCTTCATCTGTATGGCTCTAATAGTCTTCAGCCCATCATACTTCCGGGATCGTCTCCTTTCCTGTGTCCCGTTAACATCTCGAGGAGCACTGATACAACTACTTTTGGAACTGCCACATTGATTTGGCAAATGAGAGACTATTTTCTTTTTCCTTGCTTCTGAGGCTTCCCGCGTAACTCAGATTTGCACTGCCTGTACTCAAGATGCTAAACTGCACGCACAGATTTAGAATGACATGATGGTATGCAGCATGGGAAATTCATATACCCACTGTAACTATACACAGTCCATGCTCCTCATTTAGTTGCACAGCATCAGCATTTGTTAGTTTAACATGAGGTTTACTTCTCGGTAATAACCTGCAAGCAAGCTGTAGGAAATTCGTTTGGACTGTTTGTCCTTGTGTTTTTTTTTCGTTTTGTTTTTTTGCTCACACCCTATTAGTCTTCAACCAGTGTTCCACTTTTCTTTAGCTTTTGGCAGGCTCTTCAGAACGCCATTTCCTCCTTTTCAACCTGGTGAAGTTCAATTGTTCTTTGCTTACACTACGTCAGCCTTTCCCAGAATTTAGCCTGGAGCTTGAATCCACAAGGGAGCCCCCAGTGTGTTTAGATAATAAAACTGCTTCCTAAAGGGATCTTGATTGAACAGTGTACTCAGATAATGCTGTCCAACTTGATGTTCAACATTCATTCCCCCCCCTCCCAGTGATGCTCTGCAGTATTATGTTATGCAGAAACTGGTACATGGGTGATCCCCCCCCCCCTTGTATCTGATGACGAGGGTTCAACTTATTTCAGAATGACTATCTGTATGCTTTACAGGTCACCGTTCTCTGAAAACACAGGGTAGGGAACAACCTTTTGTTGGCTCAAAATACGCTTTTGAGGAGAGGCAGGGGCTGAAGCTGAAAGATGGCAACCTGCCCAGGGCCAGTCAAGGCGATGAGTTACCATTTAAACTGGGGTGCAAAAGTACCTGCATTTAAATGCCAAAATACATGTGTGATGCCAGCAATTGCAAATGAACTATAGATGTTTTAATGGTGGTGTATCTTTGCATTAAATATATTAATTGTTATCTGGAAAGGACTGGACTTTCCACTTCGATGGGAAGGCTGCCATTAAAGCTCACATATGTCTATATGGTTGCTTCCACGTAGTTGTTTTGCTCTTGTTTGGCTTCCAGACTGGAGGGTTATGGTTTTCGTTTTGTTGAGCATCTACATGACCTCGTTTCTTAAGAGTCCACTTTCCAAATTTCCCCCTACTTTGATTCATTCTTTCTTAAATCTGGTTTGATACAATCAGTTTGGAAGGATATGAGTTAAAGCATGTTTGCAAACTGTGTGGATGGGAAGGTGTGCATCTGTTAAGCTCCTGCCTACCTTGATGCTGTTTTTCCTGTCTCAAGCACCAACCAGAATCACTGAAGGACTTTGGGGACTATTCTGAAAAATTGGCAATTGCTAGATCACTGTAGCTCAGTAACAATGATGCATTGCCACAGTTTGCTAGCTCCTCTGAATTCCCTGCTTTCACTTTTTTAAAAGAAAAGAAAAGAAAGAAAGCTGGGAATTCGGAGGAGCTATATGGCGAAATATCACTAGAACATGATTGTTTTCTAGTGATCTACCATTACCGGTTAAAAAGGAAAGGCTTCCGTTGTTTGGGAAAGGGCAGTGGGGGAATCTATGCTAGGAAAGTGCGTAGAAAGCTGCCAGCTGGATGATCCATTGCTGGTGTGGATGCCTTTCCGTTCACAGCAGCAATGAGATCTTCATAAAGAATCATCATCATCATAGAAGCAGCCTATATCTGGCTTTTGGTACCCACATTTAAAATGTGATGCCAGTTTTAAGCAGTATAGCATTCTTTTTATGATAGAATATTACAAATATGTGGTGCCTCTTTGTTTGTTTGTTTTAATTTAAGGCTTATGCCGCTCTATTGGAGTAAGCAACTTTCTCATTGACCATTTGGAGCAGTTAAAGGAAGACTGCCGGGTAACACCTCATGTGAATCAGGTGAGCGTATTATGCACATTGATATATCTGTCTAGTGCAGAGAATTGTTTTGCCTACCCTAAATGGTCCTGAACTTGAGATCTTCTGTGAAGAGTGGGAGCATATTACTCACATCCTCAAACGGCTTCACTGGTTACCTATATGCCTCTGGGTCCAATCTAAGGTGCCATTTTTTACTTTCAAAGCCCTATAAAACATGGACTGGCCTAACTGTGCACCTTGTTGTGTCTTAAATCATATAATCAGTGCCACTGTTTTCTTGCTTTTTAATTTGCTTGGGAAAGACCTGCATTTGAAGGTCTGTCTCTTGAACTTCAGTCAACTTCAGTTCCTGTTCCCTGGGTGGGCCTCACTTTCTGTGGTAAGGTACATGAAACTGACATGGGAACAAATGATGCTTTCAAAACAGATGTTTTGTCCTGATTATGTTGTTCACCCATCTTTAAAATATTGCAAAACTAGCATTTAATTAACACTTCAATGCTGCAGTAAGCAAGAGTGCCCCAAAACTGCAGCATCTGCCTGACAATGAAAGCAGGGGTAGGCTGAAGGGGAGATAGTGCAAAATTTTTGGTTGCACAAGAGCAAGAACACAAGAAAAAGACCACAGTAGCTGCTTGCGCTAAGTTACACTTGTTGTATCCGCACTTATGTTTCCACATGCATAAGATCTTGTGTGACTAATTCTCAGGCACTATAATATATAGGGAAGAAAGCACTAGTTGTTGCACAAGCAGAACTGTGCTTAGTCCATATATGTTTCCATCTGCACATCACTGCATCCAAGCCAAGGGTTGTACCTGGCTGCACTCAAGGGGAGCAAGCAGAGTCCAAGTGGTATTGCCATTGTGTTGGGGCTTGCCTCAGTCCCTTAGGAGGATATCCAGCCCTCCGTGCCAGGAAAGATGCTTCCTTTGAGCACTTCCATGCTTCCTTTGAGCACTTGTGCCAAGGATTGTCTACCTCTGCTTAAGAATGTTGGAAGTGCTCGATATACGTTACTCCAATAATTCTTACGTAACTGTATTAGGTGAGCCAGCATGGTGGTGGTAGTAGGGTGGAGTCTGGGAGAGCAGAGTGTCTAGAATGTTGGAAGTGCTCGATATACGTTATTCCAACAATTCTTACGTAACTGTATTAGGCGAGCCAACAGGGTGGTGGTAGTGGGGTGGAGTCTGGGAGAGCAGAGTGTTTTTCCTAAGGCTACCTAGTGAGATCACAGCTGAGGTGAGATGTGGAGACCCCCCAGCTCACTTCACTGACCCTGAGACCCCTGTGTTACATCAACTCTGAAATGCAGGAATGAAAATCTGACATCTTAACAGAGCAGAAAAAGCAGTGTTTAGTTTTCAAAATTGTAGAATGATTTAGGCAGATACCTACCTTCTAGTCAGCCCTCTTTCCCACTGTGAAATACTCAGTAGTGTCCTTTAGAGAGAGAGCCAGTTTGGTGTAGTGGTTAAGTGTGCGGACCTCCTCCTCCTCCTCTTCCTCTTCCTCTTCTTCTTCTTCTTCTTCTTCTTTGCATTTAGGGATCCGAATTTCTGAATTTGAAAGATCCTCAGGCTGTTGTCCTTCTCTTCTTCCTCACCTTTCCCCATAGTGTAAACTGGGAATATTATGTAGCCTGTTCGGAAAAAGATAAGTGGATAAATGAGCAATCTCAGCGGTGTCTCTTAATACACTGAAGAATGCCACAGAGAGGTCAAGAAACTTCAAAGGCTGAAAAGATGGATGTGTCTGCTGCTTGAACCTTGTTCCCCTATCCAGCCAGTCATTTCTGATCACACAGGGTTTAGGCTGAGTCAGCCTAGCCTTTGAGAGCCTGGGTTTTTCGGAGTAAGTCCTGAGCAGATGCCAGCCTATTGTTCCTGGCTATTGTTTCCTAAAAAGACAACATGTACTAGAGATGAGAAACAGGAAGCAGCCCTTCATCCTCCTCAGGGTGGATGAAATTTTCCACATTCCCCATGTTGATGTCATTGCGTTAAACAAAACTCTTTCCCCCCCTTCTTTTTCATTATCAAAAGTACACAGAATGGTTAGGTCATTGGAACAAGTGTGACAACCCTTTAGTTTGAAAGCATTTGGTGTGACCATAAACTGGTTCTTCGGAGAACTGATTTTGATTTGTACATGTGCAGAGAACTGTGTGTTTCTTCAAAGACTGATGTGGATTTTTATTTTTATACCAGTTACATAGAAGGATGGTCAGGTTCAAGAGTTCATGTTTCCTTAGGCTTTATCATATGTGTGTAAAGTGCCGTCAAGTCATCGCTGATTTGGTGACCACAGGAAAGGGTTTTCCAGTCAAGTGAGAAGCAGAGGTAGTTTGCCATTGGCTTCCTCTGCAGAATCTTCCTTGGGGGTCTCCCTTTCAAGTACTGATCTTGCTTATCTTCTGAGATCTGACAGAGTGGGCCACCTTCCTTCCCCTTCATCACATACCAAAGATCAATTTTTAATACTGTTTCTTAATCCAGAACAACTGTATGTACAGTCACAAGTGGAGATTAGAATTGCTAGTCCATCTTAATGTCATATACATTGAGAGTGTGTATTTGTCATCCTAATTGCAAGTCCTGTTTATCATCTTGCCCTTCGGCAGAGTTCATGGTTCTCCTGTCCTGTCCTCCATTTTTATCCCATGAGTTTGGTTTGATGGAGAAAGTGACTGGCTCAAAGCCACGCAGTGACCCTAATAGCTAAATGTGGCCTGTATCCAGGACTCCCTGGTTCTAGTCCGGCACTCTAACTGCTGTCCCAACTGTGACAGTTAGTAGCAAGACTAATTGAGACATATGAATATTAGGGCCAGCTTCCTCAGTGGGTCCTCACTGGCCTCAGAGCCTGCATTGACATCTGACCCACCTTATTTCTGTTAATTTGGGAAAAAAAATGCCTTCTTCATAGATGGTGCTGTACAAGCAAGAATTAACAATAAACTAATTACATTGTTTTCTGAAAAGGTGTGTATAAATCAATTAGCTAAAATATTACTGACTGAAAGATGAATTCCTTTTTATCGAACAGGCATAAAACACCTCTAATGACTCTAAAAGTGACATTTCTGTGAGCCAATGGGAGATCCCTGAATGAATCCTCCATTTAAAATTTTTTAACCAGGGCTACTGCAAAGTTGGAGGTTTGGGTTTTTTACAGACTCTTCCCCCCATGTGCTCTCTTTGCCTCCCTCCAGTGTGTGGTTTGTAGTGGAAAGTACATGAGAACATTTAAAAATGGGAATAAATAAGGAGTCTTAAAAACTGTCTGTGAGAGGTAGAGCAGTAAAAATTAACCCAGCAGCACAGGACCCAATGAGAGTGGTGATACTCTTAAGCTGACAGGAACTGTGGGCTGGGGAGGGTAAAGGAAAGAATTTGACAGGTTGGAAGTGGTGAAAGGGGGTGAGATTATGAAGGGTTAGTTATTACGGGGGGGTAGATTAAAGACAACATGGGGATAACTGTCCTGGAACTGAGAGGATTACTGAATTATTGCTGGTTACTTTGGATTAATTGTAATGTTTTGAAGGTCAAAGAAGACGGGGACGGCAAAGGATGAGATGGTTAGACAGTGTCATAGATGCAACGAACATGAAATTGAGCAAACTTCAGAGGACGGTGGAAGACAGGAGGGCCTGGCGTGATCTGGTCCATGGGGTCGCAAAGAGTCGGACTCGACTGTGCGACTGAACAACAACAACTAGGTTGTAATATGCCTTCCTGGAAAAGGCTCCCCCCACCCCCGAACATGTACTGTTTAAAACCTGACACCTTCTGGTTATCATTAATATTTACCTCAGCCCCCCTCCAACCTTTTAAAAAGTAGATCAGCATATATTTACTTGCATCCTCACTTTTCTCCCTAATGGAGAAAAGCAGTTTACAACATCATTTTCCACGTCTCCACTTTAGCAGCACAACAACAACCTGTGAGGACGGTTTGTCTAAGTGACAGAGACTGAAGCGATCAGCATATATTTACTTGCATCCTCACTTTTCTCCCTAATGGAGACCCAAAGCAGTTTACAACATCATTTTCCACATCTCCACTTTAGCAGCACAACAACAACCTGTGAGGATGGTTTGTCTAAGTGACAGAGACTGAAGCCAAGGTCACCCAGAGAGCTTCCATGGCAGAGTGGAGATTCAGACCTGGGTCTCTCAGAGCCTAGTCCAACACTAATCATTACACCACACTGGCTGTTGCACCTGTCAGTTTACTCTTCCCCTCTGTTATCAGTCCAGGCTTGGGCTGATTGATACCCAGGCCCAGATTCTGCCCCTTTGACCTGGAATTCCCACCCCTGGGCAGAAGGGAAGGTGGGAAAGAAGATGGAAAAATCCTTTGGGGTGGTATGTAGCCTCAGGAAACTGTCACACTGTGGGGGGATTACTCATTTGGATGTTATCTCAGCCATCCTATATATTTTGTTTGTTAATAGTTACGTTACCCTCAGCTGTCACATTATCTGGTCTTTTCTGCCACATGAGGTTTAATCCCCCCCCCAATCTCTAATGAGATTAACAGAGTTATTCTAATGGAAGATCCTGATAGAGGTTGTCTGAGCTACACTGGGTTGAAGTCCTTGAACGATATCAGATTATTTTGCAAAATATACCCCCCCCCCCTTAATCTTGTCACGTGTCGATGAGAAAAAAAAATTACCATGAGGTTAAAACAGCAGTCATGTAAATCTGGTAACACTGCTTTACAAAGAGCCAGATTTACATAAATGGCATGAAGTTTAATATATGTCTGTCATGCAGTCATTTTTACTGTGGTACCATATCTGGAGAATGGCACATAGTACTTCCAGATAAGAACATGAGTCCAGCTGAGAGAGGGGAGGAGAAAGTAGTGATAGCCTCTCGTGGTTGCTGTCTAGGGATTGGGTTGTAATTGCTGTGAAGAGTTTAAACTAAAAGCTTATCTGCTGATTCTGAGGATGATGGCAACCGGTTTTCCAAAGCACCACATTTCTACCCAAGGAAGGTTTTCCATGGGTTTTGGAAGATGTTTAACACTTTTGCACAGGTAGCATTCTGCCAAATTAGCAGTAGCAATTCATTTGTTTGACCTTTGGGTTTTAATAGGTTAGAAGCTGAAGAAGGCTTTGATTGCAACGTTTGTTCTCATTTCTGAAAGGTTGAATACCACCCTTTCCAAAGGCCTCAAGAACTAGTGGATTACTGCCGGAGCAGAAATATTGTTTTTGAAGGTTACTGCCCGCTTGCTAAAGGTGAAGCCCTTGGTCATCCTAATATAGTTCAGCTTGCAAAGAAGTATGACAGAACTCCTGCACAGATCTGTATTCGCTGGAGCATACAGGTAAATTTTGAAGTTGCCAACATCATTGCTTCCATTTTTATTAAACAATAATTTTTGAACAGTTGTCTGTAATAGTACATCTTTCCTGTCCATCCAGGTAAACATGTCCAAAAATAGTACGCTTGTCCTCTTGCTGCCCTCAGCCATATGAGCACGCTAAATATTGGTTGTGGTCTTTAGCTTGTGTCTACAAGTAATGGTTTTTCTGGGTACTATTTGGGAGAGTTGGAAGTGCATATACTTGGGGCTACCTCTAGCATGATGATGGCTGTTCCTTTAAGTGGAATACAAAAATACTGTAGCTGTTAAAATAATATTAATAAATGTTCCTGGATGCCTCCCTTTCTATGGAGGCCCAGGTCACTGCCACATCTTAAAATAGAAAAGGAGCCAACCAGGAACACCCCCAGACTCTTCACCCTCGACGTTGGCACCATGGAGCCCCATCGAAGGTTATACACAAGTATCCCACTTAATATTTATTAATATTATTTTAACTGCTACAGCCTTTTTTCATCTGAGACAGATGAGGCAGTTGGCCCCTTATCTCACCCCACGAGACCTAGCTACAGTGACCCATGCAATGATCACTTCCAGACTGGACTATTGTAACTCTCTACGTGGGGCTGCCCTTGACCCTGCTCTGGAAGTTGCCGCTAGTGCAGAACATGGCAGCACGGGTGTTGACGGCGATGCCTGTGCAGGCTTGCGTCCACTCAGTGCTGCGTGAACTGCACTGGCTGCCTATTGAATTCCGGATCCATTTCAAGGTGCTGGTACTTACCTTTAAAGCCCTATATGGCCAGGGGCCAGCATACCTTCGAGAGCGCCTCTCCCCATATGAGCCCCAGAGGACACTGAGGTCTATGAATCAAAATCTTCTAGCAGTCCCTGGCCCCAGGGACGTCCGACTAGCCTCGACCAGGGCCAGGGCTTTTTCGGCCCTGGCCCCGACCTGGTGGAATGTGTTCCCATATAAGATCAGGGCCCTGTGGGATCTATTACAGTTCCACAGGGCCTGCAAGATGGAGCTCTTCCACCGGGCTTTTGGTTGAGGCGGTGGGCGTCCCTTTTCGCTCCTGGCTATCTCCCCTTCAGTGGCCTGGATTCTAACATTGGTACTGCTGAATTGACATCGGTGGCCTGGATTTTAGCATCAATATTGCTGAATTGACATCAGAACTAGCTTTTTTTTGCATGGTATTTTATGGTTTTACTGTTTTAATTGTTGTTTAATTGTTGTTTTAATGACATTGTACTGAGATTGTTGTGAACCGCCCTGAGCCCGTCTACGGGGAGGGCGGTATACAAATCAAATCAATAAATAAAAGTGGGATACGTATTATTATATATTGACTGCCTGTCTGTTTCTGGGTGTAATTCAAAGTGTTGGTTCTTACCTTTAAGGCCATAAACCAGTTTAGGATGACCACCACCTCCAGTACTGTACAGTATACCACATCCATTCAGGTTCTCTTAACGAGCCCTGCTGTGTATGCTTTCACCTACAAAGGTGAGGCTGGTAGTAACCAAAGGCAAAGCCTTTTCAATGGTGGCATCTTGCATGTGGAGTTCCTTTCCCCTTGAGGCTCATCTGGCTCCTGCTCTTCTCTCCTTCAGGCACCAGGCCAAAACATTTCTTGTTTTACACACTAAAAGATTCATCTTTTAAAATTGTTTTGTGCTTTGTTTCTTGCCCAAGAACTGTCTAACGATACTTATTTTTAAGCTGTCAAATAATTTATGCTCTGACTAGGCTACAATATGGATCCCTTCTATATCACTCCTGTCATGTTGAAGTTTGACTTGCTGAATGGTGTCCTAGCTTTTTTTCTTCTGTCCCCTATTCTTTTAAAAAAACAAAAACAAATAGCTTTTTTCCTTCTGTCCCCTATTCTTAAAAACAAAACAAAAACAAAACAACAACCAGCTCTCAGCAGTAATTAAAAAAAAAATCTTGCTTCTGTTTATCCTTCCAGAATGGCATTGTAACGATTCCAAAATCTACAAAACCAGAAAGAGTCCAGGAAAATTGTCAGGTAAGAGTGAACTAAGTACACTTGGCTTTCTAATATTTAATGCTTTGAACTTGACTTTTCAGTGCTTTATACTTTTTGTGGGCCAGCCCCTTTCTGTAAACCTCAGTTGAATTACTCCAGCATAAAATATAAAGTCAGTGAAATTTAAGCAGGCATAAGTGTAAAAAAAAAGTGATTTACAGCAGCAAAGTGCCAGATTCCTAGCAATGAGATGTCAAGAAAAGAGTAAGGAGTTAAGTATCTATGCAAGGAGAATTTATGATTTGTTTAAAGCGAAACCAAGGGCAGGATACCTTATTGAGTCCTGGAGAGGTAATTCTGTAGCAACTTGCACATTTTTTTTTTGTTATAAGTGATTAACATTGATTTCATCTAGGCTAAAATTTAATTTTAAAGGGGGGAAAGTTTATATAGTTTTAAAATGAGAAAGGTTAAATATACATCAAAGATTAGCTTCAGTCTCTAAGAGATGAAAGGATAGATTTAAATCTCAAGTGTAGACTTGGCCAAACTTAAAGTGAGACAGACTTCTGTAGTTCCAAAGGAACCCATGTGACCTTTAATTGCCTTTAATCTCCTTTAGTTGCCATTTTTGTTTGCATCCATGCTAAGGTGTGTATTCTTTAGCAGCTGGATCACTTGGCTTTACTGAAAAAACTTGGGACTGCAAGCTGGGTCCTGTTTCCCTAACTGGATACAACAGGAATGGGGCTGGGGAAGGAAGTGTAAACTGGACTTAGATATATACTTAGAGGTAGTTGAGGGGGAGGGGCGGTGAGCCAAACAAGGTAGGCACATGTGCAACTTTGGCAGCTGAGCAAGGAAGGAGGCCTGGAAAATAAAAGCCTTTTCCTCACCACAATAAGCTTACAAACAAACCTCAGGTAACCTCACTGGACTGTTTTTAAAAAATCCTTGGAGATTAAAACAAAACTCTAAAGTCAGAAGCCATCAGAGATGTGAGGAATATTGGCTATTTTCTGTCAAGTGCCACGTGCTGGGTAGAAGTCATGGTTTTGGTGCTCCTTGCTCTCAAGAAACAAGTTAATTTCTTTGAGGTTAGGTGGATGAAGCCTAGGGAGCAGAGAGTTGTTTGGCAGCATGGGGGAGAGGTCCTGTTTCCATGCTGACAATTTTTCTGTTGTTCTAGAGAATGACAGGAGGATATCACTGTGAAAAAAGGAAACAATCCCAAAGTGGTGCTGAATTCATACATTCCTAACTATATGCATGTGTGGATTGGGGCTCTGGTCATGGTAGAGTCAATAATTAGGGAGGTGGGTTTGTGATGAGTGTGTTGATGCTGAGGTGATTTACCTGCCTGCAAAGACATCACATGTTCAGATAACGCTGATAGATAATGTGATTGAGGAGTCAGTGGCCATAGCACACCTCAAAATATATAGCAGTGAGGTTGTGGGATTAAAATTAAGGTAGCTAGGT